ACACACACACACACACACACACACACACACACACACACACACACACACACACACACACACACACACACACACACACACACACACACACACACACACACACACACACACACACACACACACACACACACACACACAGTGCTGCTATCACCAATACCGATAGAGACATCGCATTTGGTACAGACATACGTTCCCAGCAGATTAATCTCCAATGAATCCGCCGAATTAGAACAACAAGGCAGCTAATAACTTTCAACCGTTTGCAATTATGGGAAGTAATTAGGATCCGCACGAATGGGAAAATGTTTTGTGCTCGCCGTTTTCTCCGTAATTAGGGGCAATTTACAGGTTAGTCCTCTAGATTATGATTTGCTGTCTTAGATCCCAAGGAAAGGGAGGGTAATTTGGGGAGGGAAGAGGGTAGGGAGAGGAAGTGGAAGGCGAAAGGGATAAGGATGAAATAGGGAGGAAAAGAGAGGAGAGGTAGGGAACAATAAAGGAAGGAAACGGAGGGCAGGGGAGGAAGGAGATGGGAAATGGAAGTGGATGAATTAAGAAACACCATAGGGACTAAGTAAAATCTATGGATTAGGAAAAAAAAATAGATACAAACATTTGGGAACACGTTCGTATTTCCCTTTCTTGTTATGCCTCTATCCTTCGCCTTCCTCCGCAGCCTGCACCTCTCCCCCCTCCACCCCACCCCCCTCCGCACACACCTGCCTGGCTGCCGTGTGTTATGGCTCCCTTGTGCACGCCGAGTTTTTATCGTCTCGCCACAAGTGCCTCCCAACACCGAATTTAACCTCGGCACTGCCACCCCCTCTTTCCCCATCTCCCTTCCCCCCTTCTTCTCCTTCTCCCCTCTTACTTCCGACCTCCCTCCCCCTGCCTGATCCTCCCTCCTCTCCTCTTTTCCCTTTCCCCCATCTCTCTCTTCCTCCTCTCTTATCCCTTCCACTCTCCTTTTCCCTCCCCTTCCTCCCTCCTCTGATATTTAAAGGCTTGAAAGAGATGGGGTTGGGGGAGGGGGAGAGGGAGGGGGAGGGGGAAGGGGTTTGGGGGCGCTGGAGCGTGACCTTCCTACCGGCGACTTTCATGCGGCGCCTTTCGAGTCATCCTTTCGTGAGAGCTGGAAGGGCGCAAGTCCTTTCACCCTGTACGGCGAGGTACCTTTATTTTCTTTTCTCATTTCACACTTTCCTATGTCATTTCCTCGTCAATTGTTTTGTTTTATTTCTGTTTTATTTTGTACCTTTATAATGACTTAATTATACCTAGATTATGTATCACGCATGGTCTCTAAATATTCCATACACACTCGTGCGCAAATGACCCGAGTACTTCACAATCATACATACATGTTATATGTCCATAATAGCAATAGTAAACGATTTCCTCCGTTAAGATTTCCAAGTTACGACGTGTTCTTAAAAGTCGCACAACAACCCCCCCCCCCTCCCCACTTTTTTGCTCTTCCTCCCTATACCATATCCTAATCCCACCTCTTCCCTCTTCCTTCTCTCCATCCTCCCTCTCTCTCTCTCTCTCTCTCTCTCTCTCTCTCTCTCTCTCTCTCTCTCTCTCTCTCTCTCTCTCTCTCTCTCTCTCTCTCTCTCTCTCTCCCCTCTCTCCCTCCCTCCCTCCCTCCCTCCCTCCCTCCCTCCCTCCCTCCCTCCCTCACCTCTCCTCCCCCTTCCCCTTGCCCTCTTCTCCCCTTCGTTCTTCCCCTTATCCTCCCCTTCGTTCTTCCCCTTATCCTCCCCTTCCCCCTCTCCCCTCGCCCACCCCCTGCACTGCACAACATCCTGCGAGCGGGCGCCCTTGAGGGCTGGCCCAACGGATCCGCCACCTGCCCTGCGTGACCTTCCAGGGACCCACCAAGGGCGCCTCCCCATTCCCTGCGCTGCGGGCTGGACGAGTTGTTAAGGAGTACTCTCGATTTTTTTTGTCCGGAATGTGGGGTTAATTGGACAGACAGACAGACACACACAGACACACACACACACACACACACACACACACACACACACACACACACACACACACACACACACACACACACACACACACACACACACACATACACACATATATATATATAAAGACTGTGGGTCAGAGAGAGAGAGAGAGAGAGAGAGAGAGAGAGAGAGAGAGAGAGAGAGAGAGAGAGAGAGAGAGAGAGAGAGAGAGAGAGAGAGAGAGAGAAATGGGATTGCAGTGCAACTCGCTTAGACTCTCCTCTCTCAGCCCAAGTGCGCCGCGTCCCCTGGGAAGCGACAGAAACGTTTTTCGGGTTTGCAAAATAAAACAGGTCTCGGAGGATGCGGTTTAGCGAGGGGGAATTCAATGGCAGCGCAGATGTTAGCGTAAATATGTGCTTGTATGGATATCCATTAATAGTATTCGATATATAGGCGATGCGTTTTTCGTTTGTAAGTTTGTGTGCGCATACATGCAAACTTGAATAACTACTTACATGCGTGCATACATACATGTGTGCATACATTCATACATACATCTTTACATACATATATGTGTATGTATACATGTATATACATACATACCTTACATAATGCATACAAACATTCTATAATACATAGATACATTGTATAATACGTAGTCACACACACACACACACACACACACACACACACACACACACACACACACACACACACACACACACACACACACACACACACACACACACACACACACACTTGGAAATGTCCGAAGTCGTTTTGAATCGAAGGCAGCCAATCAGCGTCCTCGTGATGGCTTTCCAAGGCGCGCCGGCCAGTCTCTCTGGTCTCCGGGCATCAGCTGCTCGTCCGCTTAACATGCTCGGCCAAGACCCACGACGTTCGTGCAATCTCTTGCAACAAGGCTCGCATGTTTGGTTTCATGGGGAATAATGGCAAATCGACGAGGAAAACTTGTTGGAAATCGAGAGCGGGAAGAATGTTTGGATTTTATGACACTTTGGATGCGGCTGATTATCGAATGCGTGCGCTTTATCGAGGTGTGTTTGGCACGAAGACGGGCAGGTGGAAGCGTCACCTGCCGCAGTCGGCACCGACGCGAGGGACGTTTAAAAAAGGCCGCTCCTGTGCACCATCTGTCGCCGCACATTAAGAAAGCGATTGTGGGTCATTATTACGTTTTAAATTGGTTGTCGTAAGGGAGTATTTTTCAGGGCGTCCCGGATCGTCTTACTCTCACTGCCACGAGGTGTAATATCAGGTGACAGCGTCGTCGGGAGCATCTGATTTGCCAGCGATTAAAAGTTATCGTACGCGTGGCAGAAGGGCGGCAGGTGGTGGCGGGCTCCGAGGAGGTCAGGCTGGCAACGCCACCTAAAATCGGGCATGAATACGGTAACCGCCAACTCCTCGCAGGGACGATGAGCGGTTCTCATGGCGCCACGTGGTTTCCTCATGGCGGCGGTGGGGCGGTGGCGAGGAGGAGGGGGAGAGGGAATTGGGGTGGGGGTGGGGGTGGAGCGAAGGCAGGGGAAGGGTGTGTGACCAGCTGCGATTTCTGGTCCATTGATACTGGGCGTGGTGGAATTTGGGCAGAGGGTGCGGACAGATAGATTTGATTCGACTTTTTTTTGTTTTTGATGGCATTGCTGTTTCTTTATGATTTGCATTTCCATCGCCCTAACACCTCCATTATCATCTATTATCATATTCATTAAGTGAACTGTATCACTTCTGGATTATAACTAATTTAATTTAATTGATGTTTCTTTTAGATACCGAGACTTGTTAATGGCACATGTATATCTTAAACGTAGCCTCACCCAGAATAAATATATTTCCTTTCTCTCGGCTCTTTTACTTGCCAGTAAATCACACATGCAAACACCTCGTAAATATTCATCATGAAATATAATGTAAACATACGAGACAATAACAAGCACATTTGTCCTCTAGTTTCCTTTCTCATCTCTTCTGGTAATGAGAAACGGTGTAATGAAATTTATTCTAATGAACCGTATACCCGATGGGCTGTATGGTAATGAGAAAAGTACTAATTAGGGTGTAAGGCAAATGGATGAATTGGGGACGTAATAGAGTCTTTTAATTAGGTGAAAGT